GCGGTGTTCAGGGTGTCTGGGTGAGATGCTCTTCAGGAGGGTCAGTGTGAACTTGATGGGCTGACTGGCCTCCTTCCACGCTGTACAGATTCTAGGATTTCCACCTGCTTCTTCACCCAGGATGGAAGGTGCAATTGGATTGTTTTAGAACTAGACCAGCCCACAGCCCACCCTCCTACCGTATAGCCCAGATACTCACGATGCTGGCCTCTCTTGGCGCAGGTCAATCGCAAAGACCACAGCATCCTCTCCAGCTGACAGGAAGGTGCAGGGGGAGTCCGGCTCCAGCGCTAGCTGCAGAACAGAGACAAGAAGGTGTGTCCAGTACTGAACCACAGTTGAATAACTGGTTGAAATTATTCACCCTGATGTGGGGAGCCAGAGCTGGGGATGAAGGTCACGAGGCGGGGATAAAAGACCGCAGTCCTTCCCACAGAGCATGCTCACTCACCTTGTGCGCAGAGCCCTTGTGCTGGGCCACTCGCTTTGTTGACTTGCAACATTCTGTGGCTGACAGCTCAGCAATACGAATCTGGCCGTCACGAGCGCACATCGCCAGCGTGGAGTCACCGCTGTTCGGCAGGAACTTGGCCTGGAGAACACCAAAACAAAAACAGGAGGGAACAGGAGGTGGGGGAACAAAGGTCATCATTACGCTTGCACAGGGACAGGGCTGGGGCTGGGATAAACACTCACCCTGTAAATTTCCCAATGAGTTACGGTTCCTCACCTAGTTGACATATACAGTGAGCCCCCGATGGTGTCTCTCTCCCTCACCCGCTCCCCCCACCTCCACACACACACACAGACACTCCCCAACAGAGCGGGGACAATAGCTTTCCTGCACACAGCTCCTACCTGGAAGACATTGCTCTTGTGACCGCTGTCAAATTCGAGGACAGGTTTCCGCCGAGCCCAGTCCCAGATTACCACCTTGAGGTCGTCACTGCCGCTGGCAAGCCAGGTCCCACGGCGGTTAAAGTGCAGCGTGTTAACACAGCCAGCATGATGCTCCAGGCTGTGCTGCAGCCTCAGGCGTTCCACAAAGGTCCGCGCTCCGCACGCCCGGTACATGAAGGCACGGGGGTCCCGACCAATTTCACGGCCCCCCAGGGCCGGAGCAGCACACCAGGTGGGCGGAGGTAAAGCTGCCACCTCCGAGTGCACCCAGCGCTCCAGCGCAGCCTCTTCCTCCGAGGAATCACGCTCCGGTTCACTGGCTCGTTTCGGCCCTCGGCGGCGCCGGGCTCGTGGTTCTGGCTGCCCGTCCTCCATCTTACTCTCCTCCTCCTCCCGCTCCTCTCCCTCCTCATCCTCCTCGTCTTCCTCCTCATCCACGATGGAGTATGTGCCGGTGTCCTCCAGGGAGTCCGAGTCCCGCTCATCTGAGCTCTCCTTCTCAGTCCCGTGCCTGCCCCCTTCCCCTCGCCGCTCCCCGTCTGCCTCCTCTTCGTCCTCCGCCATGTGCTCGTCCCCAGTCAGGCTCAGGCTCAGATCGGACGCTTCCACCTCAATACCCGATGAGGACTCACGGGCCTCTTCGGTGTCCTCAGGGCTACTGGACAGGCTGCCTACATGGAGCAGGAGGTTAAAGACAGTGAGTACAGGACCCTCCTCCACACCCATCCTCTTGGCACAGAGCTCCCTACAGCATCAGGCCCCTCGGTACTGACCCGACGACAGCACCAAACCCCTTCCATATCACCCACGTCCCTCCGCAAGTGAAGTCCCACCTACTCAGCCGGGATTGACAAGGTCAAGAGGAATTTTTCAATCGAATAAAAGGAATTTTGTAGCTTTGTCGGGCTGGGAGCTGCCGTAGGTTCACGGTCAGATCGGACAGGGGGCCAGGGCTATCTGGTGAACACCTCATGGCACGAAGATACACAGAGTGCTGGCTCCAGGACAGGACAGAAGCAGCTGCCCCTTTAAAAGGTAGCCAGTAGGGTCAGCAGAGTGCTCTGCTGGGCATTGGGATAGGCCCAAGAACTGCCACGGGCAGCACGGTGGCTCAGTGGTTAGCACTGCTGCCTCACAGCACCAGAGACCCGGGTTCGATTCCAGCCTTGAGCGATTGTGTGGAGTTTGCACGTTCTCCCCATGTCTGCGTGGGTTTCCTCCCACAGTCCAAAGATCTTTGGTAGATTGACCATTCTAAATTGCCATTGTGTTCAGAAACATCCAGGCTAGGTGGATTCGCCATGGGAAATGCAGGGTTACAGGGATTGGGAAGGGGTGGGTGGGATGCTCAGAGGGTTGGGATGGATGCAAATAGGCCAAGTGGCCTGCTTCCAGACTGTAGGTATTCCATGATCCCGAGATCAGAGTTAGCATATCTGCAGAGAGAGGGGAGGTATACTGACAGCAGGGGCATAATAGACAGAAGAAACGTAGAGAGCTCATCACCTACCATTCCTGAAGTCAGGCTTCAGATCCAGTTCATTGCTCCTATCCCCCATCCTGCCAAGTGCCTCAAGGTGATCCACAGGTTAGCAGAGCCTAGGAGACAGACAATTGCACGGAAATGCTGCATGTGGCTGTAACCTTTGCCACGCGCGCCCCCCCCACCTCCCCCATGAATACAGCTAAACTTCAAAGACTACAAGCTGCTGCCTGCATTTCTGTGCTATCCTGCCTTTGAGGCTGCTCACCATTGAGTATGATTAGAAATCACTGATCAGACCAAAACTCACTATGTCCTGTAATCCCAGCTGTACAAAACCCTGAACAACTGTCAGTTCATGGTGCAGAGTTGTTCAAATCTCAGAGAAGTTCATTGGCACAACCAGCTCTCCAGTAGATGGAGAACCCTATTTTACACTTGTGAAATGTCAAATTTTCTCTGTATTGACAGCTTCCAAAGATCTTTTTGCTTTCAACAAAAAGTTGAGGATATTTCAGATTTTGGACAAAGGTAGAAAGTCAAGTACCTATCATTTCTTTTAAACAAGAATTTGGGTTGGCACAGTGGTTAGCACTGCTGCCTCACAGCACCAGGGACCTGGGTTCAATCCCACCCTTGGGTGACTGTGTGTGGGGTTTGCACATTCTCCCTGTGTCTGTGTGGGTTTCCTCCGGGTGCTCCGGTTTCCTCCCACAGTCCAAAGATGTGCAGGTGAGGGTGGATTGGCCATGGGAATTACAGGGTTAAGATAGCGGGGTCAGCGTGGACTTGATGGGCCGAATGGCCTTCATCCATGCCGTAGGGATTCTACGACTCAACAAAATCTCAATCATCCCTCGGGTAGAGAATTCCATGATTCACCACCTTTAGACTGATGAAGTTTCTCCTTAGCTCAGAGATACAGCAGATTGATTAAGCAGAGACTAGCATTACCATGGCACAGCAAGTGGCCACTCAGCCCATGCCAGGTTTCTCTAGAGTACTCCAGTCTGTACCCAGTTATCCTGCACTCCTCCTCCCCCCAAGAGACCTTGCAAGTTTATTTTCCCTTAAGGCATTCTGTTCTCCATTCAGAAATCATTAATCACCATTCCGAAATCATTAATCACCATTCCCATCCACCTGCACGGCAGTGAGCCCTTCTCCCCTCCCCAGTTCTTGTACCAATAGCTGATGGGAGCAGCTTTCCCTTATTCACCTTCTCTAAGCCAGATGGAGAGTGTAAATTTCAGGTGGAGCTCAATTTAAAATCTCCCCTTTATCTCCTTCACAGAGGGTAACCAGCCCAGCTTCTCCAAGCAAACTCTGGAGAGCAAGTGCCCCCCCACCAGGGTAATCTCCCTCCACACCCTCTCAGGGACCCTCACATCTTTCCCCAAGTGTGGGGACTAGAACTGGACATGGGCCTAACCCAGTTCAGAAATAGTCATGCTGGACTTGAAACGTTAACTGTTTCTCTCTCCACAGATGCTGCCAGATGTGCATAGTCTATCCACTAGTTTGTGTTGGAGCTTTCAACCATCCTGCTTCTGTACTCAATGGCTCTGTCCATGAAAGCCAGGATCCAACAGATTTATCACTCAATGAGTCCTACTTCCTTCAAAGATTGACACTCATACACTCCAAGTTCCCGCATCCTCTCCAGAACTGCTGTTACCTCCTGAGCTCTTGCCATCCCTACTGTCAAACTGCATCACCTCATTTCTCAGTTTTAAATTCCATCTACCAGACCCTGTGTGTGCTGGCTTTGCTCTCAGTCTGTCACATCTCCAAATCTGGTATCCCCCGCAAGTGTCCAAATTCTACAGTGCTCCAAAATCTAAGCCATTTATACACATACGCGCACACAAAAAGTCTGCACACAAACCAGTTCCAATACTGACACTGAATTTGTGACACAGCATTCTTCCTCACATTTCAACTTGCCATGCATTTCCAGTTACTGAAATACGATCAACTTTCTTTCTTAAAAAAAAAGACGTTTTTATAAAAAGCACCTTCCACCTAAAGGGCTTGAATACAAGAAGGTGGAAATCATGTTTTGTCTCCACAAAGCACAGTCAGACCAGACCCTAGAGTGACCAGAAGCAGTTCTGCGCAATGCACAGACAGGAAGGTCAGCTGTGGAGGCAGCACAATGCAGATTTACTAGAATGATACTTGGATTTCAAGTGTCAAGTTACGATGTGAGATTACACAAAAGCAGAACTCCCTGGAATTCAGAAGGTTAATAAACAATGCCCTCTAACTGATAAACAATTTAATCTTCTGTTTGCACAATAGGTTGGTTTATATTTCCCCAACAAGGAAGCGGAAAAAGTTACAGGCAGCAGGGTGGAAGACTGTGAAATACAAGATTAATAGAGAGAAAGTACTAACTGGTTCAGCATCCTCAAGGGGAGATAGCGAAGACCCTGGCAGTATTTTCCCAAACCTTGCTGGCCAAAGGCAATATGCCAGAGAACTACTAACACTGTCCCATTATTAACAAAGTGAAGCAGAGACGTCAAGAAAGTACAGGCCGGTCAGTCTAACTTCTGTTGTAGTGAAGTTATCAGAAAACGTTGAGGGACAGACTTTATCTGCACTTAGAGATACAGATTATTCAGGGATTGTCAGCACAGATTTGTGAAAGGAAGGTTGCGTTTGACGAAGGGATAGATTTTTTTTTTAAGAAAGTATCCAGGAATATTGATGAGGGCAATGCATCTGATATTGTCGACATGGACTTTTGATAAGGTCCCTCCCTGTGCCAGACGGGTCAAGAAAGTAAAAGCCTACAAGATCCAAGGCAAAGCATCACAGTCTTAAAACTGGCTGAGAGGCAGGAAGCAGAACACAATGGTAGAGGACTATTTCTGTGACTGGAAGTCTGCTTCCAGTGGGATTTCGCAGGGATCAATGCTGGGACCCTTACAGTTTGTGGTGGAGTTAAAGGTGGGGTGGACCAGGGCAGGAGGGGTGGAAGAAGAATGAAGAAGAGGTTCACAGGTGACATACACATTGGTAGGGTGAGAAGTAATGAGGAGCTGTAAGCTACAGGGTGGGGCTGGGGTTGGTCAGCAGGGTACAGCAGAAACAAATGCAATTTAGCCTGGAAAAACGTGAGGCAAAGCTAACACAGCAAGGAATTACACCGGATGGTAGAACCCTGGAAAGTACTGAAGATCGGATTGTGCTGTGCATATCCACCGGTCCCTGAAGGACAACTGATTAAGACAACATTTGGGATATGCACCTTTAATAGTAGAGGCATGGAGAGAGGTGGGAGATTATGTTGAAACTGTGTAAAACGCTGGTTAGACTGTTAAATGGAATACCATGTTCAGTTGTAGTCACCACATTATAGGAAGGACTATACTAATTATCACAATCACTCATTAACAAGCATGATTGCCCACCTCAGAAATCACGTCACTGGGTCATGGATTCTCTGGGTCTGTGTGTGGCTGCCTGAGACGGACTTTCGAGAGCCGTTATCACCGACTGCAGATTTGGCGAGTGCTTCAGGGAAGTGGGAATTGGCCCTTTGGCTTTGCGATCATTGGCATTCCTTTCTTCAATTCCTTTCCAGTATTTCCTCTTGCCAACAGGTGCTCACAAAGAAGCTTGTCCTTTCATACAGGAGCTCCCTCCAAGTTGGGTTTCCTGTGAACAAGGGTCTCCCACACATTAACATCTATGTTGCACTGAGGGAAACCTTCAGGAGGTCTTTGAAATGCTTCCTTTGTCCTCATCCCATTCAAGTTTCTTCCTAGGAGTTAGGCAAAGATAACCTGCTTTGGCAATCGGAACTTAGGCATCCTAGGCACATGGCCAGCCCAGCAGAGTTGGTTTCAGATGATCATGGCCTTTTAAAACAGAAAATAAAACTCGCCCTACACCGTCCTCAATCAGGATCATGGTCTTTACTCTTTAGATACAGAGTAAAGTTCCACAAGATACAGGAGCAGAATTAGGTCATTTGGCCCATCGTGTTTCTCAATCCCTGTCTTCTCCCTTTAATCCTTGATCCCCTTACTAGTCAAGGGCCTGCCTGTCTTAAAGACACTCAATGATTTTGCTTCAGAGGGCTGTAGAGGCCATGCGTTCCATGATTCATCAACCTCTGGTTGAAGAAACTCCCCCTTGTCTCAGTTCTACAAGGGCCATGCCTTCACTGAGGCGGTGCCTCCAGGTCCTAATCTCTCCTACTCGCGGAAACATCAACTACACATCCACTCTATCCAGGCCTCTCAGTATTCTGTAAGCTTCAATCAGATCCTGTCCCCCCTCCAACATTTCACCCTTCTAAACTCCATCAAGTACAGACCCAGAATCCTCAACTACTCCTCAAAATGACAAGCCCTTCATCCCCAAGATCATTCTTGTATACCTCCTCTGGACCCCCTCCAAGGCCAGCACATCGTTCCAAGATACGGGGCCCAAAACTGCTCTCAATATTCCAAATGCAATCCGACCAGAGCCTTATCTAGCCCCAGCAGTACCTCTCTGCTCTTGTATTCTAGCCCTCTTGAAATGAAGGCTAACATTGCACATTTGTGAGGATTTCTGTCAACCTTAATGGAGGGATAGGCTGGTAAGGGATTGGAGTTTTCTGGAGGTCAAAGCAGAGACAGATTCTTCTGTATGCTTCCACAACGGGGGCTTGGAGATTCTCTTCTGAGCCAGCAGAGACGACATGGTCACCTGCACACTGAAGTTCCCTAAGGGAGGGCAGTGTCGTTTTCTTCTTGGATTTCAGCCGGTTGAGGTTGTAACATTTCCAGTCTGTCCGGTAAGATATGTCCACCTCACTGGGAAGCTTGTTCTCAACGAGAAAAACAGCAGTGAAGACGACAGAGAGAAAGGGTGTGGGGAGTGTTGGGGCATGACATATCCTTGCATGACCTGCCTCGACCACAAAGGATTCTGTCATACTATACTGAGGAAGACCATTGCCAACATCATTGGCGAGGAGATGGAGGATGATGAATCTCAGACAGCCCTTAGACTGGCCCTTCCTTCATACTATCCATACTAGGTCAAAAGCCTTGGCTGGATTGATGAAGGCCATACAGAGTGTCTGGTGTTGTTCCTGGCATTTCTTTTGGAGTTTGAGCAGTGACAATCACGTCCATAGTTCCATGGTTTGGCTGGAAGCCATACCAGCTTTCAGGAAGAATCTCCCGGGACTGGGAGAAGTCTCACCTAGAGCCTAGCACAGCCTCGGGCAATGATTTCCCCAGCAATGGGGAAGAGGCAGATTTCTCAGTAGTTCCCACAGTTCACTGTCTCCTTCCTTCAAGGTGGTGGTAATGGCAGCGAGTTGTTCTTGGTCTCAGATTTTCAGGAACAGCTGACAAGTGACAGGCAAGCTCTGCTCCTCCAAGTTTGGAAACCTCTGCTGGAATCTGATCTCCTTCTCTATGTGTCTAACAAAGTCCAAGATCATCTTAGAGGGGGAGCTGGAGGATTTCCTCAAATACTTCCTGGATGATTGCATCATGCTTTAGAAGTTCTTTGAAGCATTGTCCATCGGAGACTGACATTTTGTCACTCAGAAGGGCCCCACCCTTATTCCACACTGGTTTGGGGCCAAGGGTCTGTACGTTACCTTAGTGGCACTAACAAAACCTGGGTGTCAGGCTGGTCAATGAGGAGCTGCGGCTCCTTCGTTTTTTCAGTCACCATGGGCCCTTGATTGCCCTAGTATTTCTGGGTAATTCTGCCCTTCCTGTTTTGAATTCTGTGTTTCCTGGCATCACAGTAACCGTTTCCTCACAGCATGAAATGATGGCTGCCTTCAGCTCTTCCAGATTAACCTCCACTCCATTAGAAGTTTTCTCTTAAAGTGGTGACAACACTGTTGGACGTTTGCTGGTCTGCTTGGCTGTTAAGCCACTCAACGTTAAAACTTCCTCCTGAACAGTTTTTGTCTTCAGCTGCTTCTGATAGATTTTGACAGGCACGGGAGGAGCGGATGAGTCAGTGTTCGGTCCAGCAGTTGTCTCTACCAGTCACTGCTTTGGTCATAACGACATCCTTTTAGTCTCGGGATTGAACAACATGATAATTGATCATGGATGCCTCCAGGAAGTCTTGAACTTGTCTTTTGGGTGAAACAGCATGTTGGTGACGACCAGTTGGTGTTCTGCACATTTGGTGAGCAGGAGAATCCTGCTGGAGTTGCAATTCCCAATTTCTTCCTGTCCAACCCTGATGTTAAAGTCTCCAAGGAGAACAATTCTATCTTTCTTAGATGGTGGGGAGTCTAGTGACTAGGGTGGAGGCAGTTTTCTGCAGATTTATCTACAGTATCAGGGGTTGGAGCACAGGCACTCTCAACTGTAGCCTGCCGTGGACAGGCAGGGTATGTGTGTTGGAGCAAGTTGTTGACAGAGTCATGAGGAGATAGTTAATGCCAACAGGGAGCTCTAGAGAGTTGGTTGATATGTTCATCCTTGCTGCCAAAACGCTCTCGCCTGTTCCTACTCCAAGAGCAAAATGACTGAGTCAAACTCCACTACCGACAAGTGACAGCAAGAGAACAGTGGGGAATCTCAGGATGTTGCCTGGGCTGGAGGGTCTTTGACACAGGACTGGACAGGCCGAGATTATTTTTCCCTTGGGGCAGCAAAGGTTGAGAGGGGAATGGATACCAAGCTGCACTGGATTATGAGAGGCAGCTTCCCATTAATAGAAGGATCAGAAACCAGCAGGATATGGAGTTAACCCAAGACTTAGAAGGTTAACACCAGAGACGCGGATAATTTTGCTTCCCCAGGAGGGTGGAATGAGGTTGGAACTCACTGCCTGAGAAAGGGTGGCCGAGTTTGAAGCTCTCGTAACTTTTGCGCTGCATTTCGGTACAGACTTGTGCTTTATGCTGCTATAACCTTCGCAGCTATGGGCCAAAAGCTGAAAAATGGAATCAATGCAGCCAAGATGTTGTTGACCAGCAGAGACCGGATGGGCTGAAAGGCCTGCTTCTGTGCTGTAAGTGTCCAGGAACGAGTCTACAAGGACCAAGGGTAGGCCAGTCAGCTCTTTAAGCCTGCTCCACCATTCAATAAGATCGTGGCTGATCCAATTGTTAGCTCAAACCCACACTCACGATCACCTTCCACCCCCTTACTTAGGGACTCAATTGACCCTTATGTCAAAAGTACACAGACATTGCTTTCACCGCCTTTTCAGAAAGTTCCAAAGACTCATGACACAAATGTTTTCACTTCATCTCAAATCACAAGTGGTGACATCTTGCTTTAAGCAGTATGATCACTAGTTCTCAATTCTTCCACAAGATGAAACATCCTTTCCACAACCTCCCTTTCAAAAACCCCCAATCACCTTAAATTTGAATCAATTTACCTCCTACTTTTGCAAACTCCAGCAAATACAGGCCTAGCTCACCCAAACTTTCCTCATAGGGCAACTCACTTATTCCAGGTATCGTGTGGGACACCTTCTCTGGACCACCTCCAATGCATTTTACACCACACATTCCTGAACCTGAGTGCACTCAAAGGGCTGGTCACAGAGTAAAGCTCCCTCCACACTGTCCCCATCATACAATCCCAGGACATGGGACAGCTCACAGTTAGATACAGAGTAAAGCTTCCTCTACACAGTCCCCAAACATTCCCAGGACAGGTAAAGCACAGAGTTAGATATAAAATAATATTTCCTCTACTCTTTCAACCCTCACTGACTTTCCATCATTTTAATATTTCAGTTTTAGTTTGAAGCCATGAACGAAGAGCTAAAGTTGACTTTTGGGCTGTGGGCAAGTTTTTGTGAAAGGCAAAACAGACCAAACAGGCTATTGTTTATTCAGGAGGCCAGTCCTGGTCATTAACTGCAGAATGGTGCCTGATGGAAAGGTTATGCAGATACTTCATCTCTGGGGAAGAGCATTGTGTTTAATCAGAGAGAGTAGAAGTTGGCTATTAATGAGGTTAACACCTGGGAAGTAATTCCAGTAAGTCTGGAAATGACCACAAGCTCAAGCAGATAGACGTTGGAATGGTAACAATTTTAAGGTGTTTGGAGGAAGGCATAGGGGAGATGTCAGGAGGTAGGTTCTTTACACAGAGCAGTGGGTGCGTGGAATGCACTGCCAGCAGTAGTAGTAGAGTCGGATACATTAGGGACATTTAAGCAACTCGAGTAGGCACATGGATGACAGTAAAATGAAGGGCACACAGGTTAGTTTGATCTTAGTAGGATAATGGGTTGGCACAACATTGTGGGCCAAAGGGCTTGTACTGTACCATTCTATGTTCTAACAGGGACCTCATGAAGGAGACAGTTGGTCTGTCATTGAGTGGTCAGGGTTTGAATTGGATTTTGGACTGGGTTTTCTGTGAGAAGGAATCTGGCTGTTGACTCTACAGCATGAAGATTTCAAAGCTCCCAACCTAACCACCCATGAGCACCTCTTGCAAGTTGAGAGAGTAGAAAACTAAGTACTACTGCTTTTATCCTCGTGAACTGGAAACGTGACCCTGCTCAACACCTTCAGAAAAATCAACCAAGATACCATCTACGTCTGTAGAACAACACTGAAAACCACTAAAATAATCTGGCCAGTTTGTTACTTTTTTAAAAATCCCTTAACTATGTTCGTTTGCTGGTCTGTCATTTATGTAAATGGAGCTGAAAACAGGTGTGTTCATATGTTTGTGTTCATAGGTTTATAACAGACCGATTAGATTACCTTGCTGTTTAAAGTTTGTTCTGCTAAAGTTAAAACATTATTGATAAATTGTTAAGTTTTTTTTATTTGAGATATAAATGGTGTTTAGAATTGTTTTTTTTGCAGAGTGTAGGATTGGTTATTCCAAAACCTGGTTAGGAATCATTGGGGTCAATTTTGAGAGTCTTTGAAGTGTTTAGAGTCAGAAATGGACAGCACAGAAACAGACCTTTTGGTCCAACTTGTTCATGCGGAACAGACATCCTAAATTAATCTAGCCCCATGTCCCTAAAAACTTTTCCTGTTTATGTACCCACCCGGATACCTTTTAAAATGTATACCCATCCCCACCACTTCCTCTGGCAGCTCATTCCATACATGCACCACACCATCTGCATGAAAAAGTTGTTCCTCAGGTCCCTTCTAAATCTTTCCCCGCTCACCTGAACGGTCTAGTTTTGGACTCCTCCTCTCTGGGGAAAAGACTTGGCTCTTCACTGTGTCCGTGCCCCTCATGATTTTATAAACCTCTTTTGAAAAAGGTCACCCCTCAGCCTCCAGCGCTCTAGGGAAAATAGCCGCAGCCCGTTCAGCTTTTTCCTATAGCTCAAACCCTCCAAAACCAGCAACATCCTTGTAAATCTTTTCTGCACCCTCTCAAGTTTTAATATTACTGTCTTGCAAATACAGATTTGGTTCGGTACAATATCAAACACACCCAGGACAGGTAGAGCACTAAATGTTGACCAAAATGCTCTCATCCCCAACTAATCCTCAAACTTTACACACCATTCCTCACAAACCCCGAGTGAAGTGGAAACAGCGACTTAACTAGACAAAGCACAATCTCTCCGTTGTGTACTACTACAAACCTCAAAGCAACTCCCAAACTTGAGAAATTCCCATCAACCTGACCCCAAGCTTCTGTTCTGGGGATTTAAGTGCACAGGCCATCTGCAAATGCACATGAAATGTACAGAAAGTGAACTGTACTCACCTGCTCCAGGACTGATTCCTGTTCCTGTTAATAAAAAAGAACAAAAAAAACAATAAAGTCAAGTTTCCCCATCAAATGCAGCTGATGAGCCAGCTCAACACATTTCATGCAAAAAACAGGAAAGCACTCTACTTTTACCTGTTTGTAAGAAAAGAAACTGCAGCCACTGGAAATCGAAAATGACAGAGTGCCGGAGAAGATCAGCAGGTCTGGTAGCATCTGGAGAGAAAGAAAACAAGATTTAACGTGGCAAGTCCAACAAAAAGGAAGGACAAACTGCATCAAAAGCAAGTCAGAGAATGATTCCTAGAACAAAGGAAGTTATTGTTCAAGGGAAGAGACAAACAAAAAGCTGTAGATGCTGGAATCCATGGTAGACACACAGGAGGCTGAAAGAATAGAGCAGGCCAGGCAGCATCTGGAGGAAAAGAGCAGTCAACGTTTTGGGTATTACTCTTCCTCAGGGCCTTAAGAAATCCTGAAGAAGGGTAATACCCAAAACATTGACAGCTCCTTTCCTCCAGATGCTGCCTGGCCTGCTGTGTTCTTCCAGCCTCCTTTTGCCTATCGTTTAAGGGAAAACTGGATAGGCTGCATGTGCATCCATTGTAGTTCAGAAGAATAAGTGTGATCTTTTCAAAGCTTCTAAAGACCCTGAGGATATTTCTCTGCAGCAGAGTCTGGAGCTAGGGGACCGCCATTTAAAAATCTGATCATTTTCACCAAGGGGGTTATGGGTCTGTGGAACTCTTCTTCCAAGAGAAGAGGAGGAAGTGGAGTCATTAAATACTTTTAAGAGACAGATAGATTCTTGACTAACAACACAGCCAAGATTTATTGGAGCTATGTGGAGTTAAGGCCATTATCAGATCAGCCATCATCTTTGTAAATGTTTGAACAGGCTGAACAGCCTGCCCCTGTTGTAGAGGGCTCTCATTCAGAACTGAAGGGACAGAGAATTATGTTGTGTTTTATGCTGTTGAACGTGGAGGGCAGAGGGCGGAAGGCAGAATAAATGACCACAAACCGTAAGCAAAGGTTGCAGTGAAGAAACAAATCATTGGTACATTAGAAGGAGAGTTTAGATCTCTCTGAACCTTAAAATTCGAACAGGACCTGATAGAGTAAATGCAGGAAGGTGTTCTCGATGACTGGGAATCCAGAATCAAGGGTCACAGTCCTGAGGATAGGGGCCTTTTAGGGCAGAGATGAGAATAAATGTCTTCATCAAGAGACTGGTGAGCCTGTGGAATTCTCTAACACAGGAAACTGTTGAGGCCAAAACATTGAAAGGGGTTAAAAAAAAAAAAATTCTTTGGATTAAAGGGATCAAAGGGTATGGGGAGAAAGCAGGAACAGGGGACTGAGATGGACAATCAGCCCTGATCTTATTGAATGGGGAAACAGCCCAAGGGGTGAAATGGGCTACTCCTGCTCATATTTCTATGCCCAGAGTGAGTACCGTTAGCAGAATAAAAAAGTAGTTTTTCCCAGATTAGACACATGGGACAGTTACAGTGCAGAAGCAGGCCAGTCAGTCCATCAGGTCACATCCTTCCTTTTCCTTGAAAATAAAAGAGTCCGACCTCCCTTTTGAGCAATTCACCCGAGACTGCCTCCACTGCACCCAAGCTGCATGTTCCAGACCCGAACCACCCACCAAGCTTGAGAAAGCTTCCCTCATCTCACCACTGCTTCAAATCATGGCCCTTTCATTCTCAATCCTTCCATAACCCAGCAGAATTTAGGCCCCCTGTGTGATTTTGAATGACTCTTCTCAAAGTTCCTGTCAGACTCAGGCTTCCACTCCCACAAAGGTTGAATTCCCAAAGCACAGAGTCTCTACAGTGCAGGAAGAGGCCACTCGATCCATCAGGTCTGCACCAGCAGAAGGGTGTTCCACTCAGATCCAATCTCCGTGACCCCGCATGGGGTTCTTCTGTTTAAAAACCCACCTAACCAGCACATCTCTGTACCTCTCCAGTCTATGCACCTCACTGAAGTATTCATCCCCAGGACTGTTCTTGTCAAAAAACGAAAGGATACAGAAACAGAAATTGCTGGAAAACATTAACATCTGCAGAGAGAAAGCAGAGTTAACGTTTCGGGTCCAATGACCCTTCTTCAGAACTGATGGTAGCTGGGAAAAGATGCAGAAGAAATGAAACGAATAATAACAAAAAAAAAGTGAAAAAATGATCAAAATGGAGAAGCGTCGAAAGTCTGACATTTACCTGCTTTGGACCCAACACCTCTCCCTGCAAAACAAAAGGGCAACATTAGCCACAGTCAGAATAGTAAAGCCATACCACATGTTGAGCCAAAAAAAAAAAAAAAGGAGGAAACAAAAAATTCCAAACCCAACCCTGCCTACCCGAAAATTAGAACCTCGGTGGGGAATGCCCCCTTCTCTTTGGGGGGGGGGGGGGGGGAAATCCAGGATGTTGGTGACACTGGCCCTCACTCACCATGAAGGTGAGGTGGGAGGTGGTGGGGTGGCTGGAGTTAGGTGCCCCTGGTGTGGTGCTCCGGGGTTGGCTAAAGAGAGGCACTATAAAAAAAAGGGGGTCTAACCCTTCCTCCTCTTGGCGGATGCGCCGCCACCAACCAACCACCACCAACTCCAAGCCCTGGGGACGCGAACCCTGGAGTGTAACCCCAACACTCCTGCCCCCCCCCCCCCCCACCCCCCCAACCCCCCCACCCCCCCCCCCCACACCCCCCCGCCACTGTCCAACCCCATCCTTCCCCCCCCCCCACCAAAAGAAAAGAACTTACCCTCACCTCAAAGTGAATATTGCCTCATTATTATTACATACATGTACATTTGTTTTTAAAAATGTAAACCCCACCCCCCCCTCCTCAAGTCTTCTAAAAGATGATTTTAGAAATTAAAAAGTGACCAGATTATTTGGGGGGGCGGGTGGGTTGTTGTTGTAGTCAAACCAATGAACTGTGTTTGTTTTTGGACTCCCCTCCTGCTAAGTCTTTATAAAAAAAAGAAATAACACAGATGACGAGACGGAAAGTGTGTGGCTGGGTGCCCGGGAGGGGAAGTAGTTGCCCCTTCAGGACTGTCCAGAGCCAGCGGTGCTTGTTAAGGTTGTTGTTGTTGTTGTTGTCTCCCTGCCCTCCGCCGCCATCTTGATTCTGGGGGGGGGGCGGGGGGAGGGGTTGTCCCTTCCTTCCTCCTCCCTCTCTTGCTCCACGCCGCCCCCCTCCCTCCGCAATAAAGTTGAGTGACGCCCCGCTCACAATAACAACAACAACGGCCGGCGGATGCACGGCTGCCCCGCAACAAGATGGCTACCCAAAACGGTCACTTCCTGTCCGCCTCGCGAATCCTCTTTTGAGTCCCGCTCCTTCTGAAAATGCCTCAGCCGACCGCTTCTCGCCCCCGCCAAAACCCCGGCCTCTGCTCGAATCCCTCCGCCACACTCTTTTGGGTGAGCGAGAATAAAGAATACCTTCCCGCCCCACCTTTTAGCGACGCGGGGATCCCATCTTCCCCCCACCCCTCCCCTAAACACACCAACCGTCGCCGTCCCCCTAACTGACTTCCGGTCGCCATCTTCGCTCCGCCCCCTCAGACTGTCTCTCGCGATAAATCGTTCCTTTTCAAACACCCTCCCCTACCTCTAATCGTTCCCAGTTGCTAAATGAAAGCAGTTCGTTTTACCGCCAGTCGGATTCCGAAAATTCGCCGATTTTGAGAAGTCACCCGGCCGTGGGTGAAGAAAGGGGCATGTCGTCACTTCCTGTACTAGCAAACCCATCGCTTCACGCCAGGTTGCCCTGGCGGGTGCCATCTTTGTTTAGGGCGAGCCCCGCTGCACGGGAATCACGATCGATGCTGGGAATGGGAATGGGCGCCATTTTTTTTAAGGCAGCTGGGGAAGCATCCTTTCAATTTGCACTGGCTCGGGAGGTCGTCATTTTTGTTTGGGGCATGATTATGGCACCAGCCAACAGCGTCAATGGTGACCTACGGTTTTTTTTTGGCGCCATCTTTGTTAACGGTGCAGCACTTTATTGACGACCGCGCTTCTCTGTTTAAATGCTCCCACTTAAGGTAGACTATACTTAACGCCTGTAGATACAAACTCGCTTTGAAATAAATAAATATCAACGTTGCGAACTTTCAGCTGCGTATACTTGACTCAAGACATCGGATATACAACGCGCAAGATGACGTCACTTCCTGTATGCATGGACGCCGCCATATTTGATGCTCCATTCCATTTACTGGAGGTTAATTGAGTGTTGTTTTGTCCCCACTGAGGGGAGTAACATGTATGGACTCGACTGCAATACAAATCCTTACTTGTGTTTTCTTCTTTAAAATCTGAGATGGGAATATCTCTGGCTTTAATTCCCATTTCTAATTGCCCAGAGGAGAGCCAAGATCACATTGCTGTGGGTCTGGAGTTACATGTATAGCAGATTTCTTTCCCCTAAAGCTATTAGTCAACCTAATGGTTACCCCTCCACTCCCATAAAAATTGGCATGTGGCTACCATCAGGCCACCATTTTATGCAATTCAAAATTTCATCTCTACTATGGTAGGATTCAAACCCATACCATAAAGATATTAACCTAGAGTGCTGAATTACTAGTCCAGTGACATTGTTGCTACATCACAACTGTTGCAAGTTTCAAGGAACTGAGTATGGGCATCTGGCAATATCCAATAAGATCAGATTGGAAACATCAACTCGGCGTCTCTTAACACAGACACTACCAGACCTGATGTTCTCCAACACATTTTCAGTCCTCCTCCTCCTGTCCTTGACGCTCTACTCTACAGGCTGAATATCTTTGTCCTATTTCCCCAAATTACAAACCAGCACGACCAAATAGCCTCCTCCTACTGGTCACTCAATAGACTGAATGGCTTCTTCCTCTTTCAATACAGTAAGAAAGGGGACATGTGGATCAAGGAGGAAGACAGGAAGCAAGGGCATTCAGAGTACATATTTTCCATTAGAAAAAGCAGGAACCACCTTAGTGTTAGAGTTCCCAGGCTGCAGACTTGGTGCCCATACGGTGAAAGCAACAGTTCAGCACTTACATATCATTCTCTGTTTCTTTCCCCCCTCACACCATCTTCAAGCCTCCATCTGCAAAATAAACCTTCAGTTGGCTCTCAAGGCAACTAAGTAGAGAACAGATTAACTCACCCAGATATGATTGGTCCACAGTCACATGACTTCTCCCAAAGCTCACCAATCTCTGAAAAAAAACAAAAAACTGAAAGAACTGCGGGTGCTGGAAATCAGAAACACAAACAGAAATTGCTGAAAAACCTCTGGCAGGTCTGTGGAGAGAAAGCAGAGTTAACGTTTCAGGTCCAGTGACCCTTCTCCAGCAATTTCTGTTTCAGTTCTTTTTTAAAACAAAGCTGTGCGTGTGCCCTGGTGAAAACAAACTGAACAGTACACATTGGGAATGTTACAGTTGTTAACGTTAAGATTCTGGAACACCTATCCACACGGCACTGTGGGCTGTCTTACTCCCCGTGGACTGGAGTGGGTCATGGCAGTTCTTCACCACCTTCTCAAGGGCAATTAGGGACAAGCAATAAACGTTGGC